TTTTAAATCTCTATGCTTTACTGTCCTAAATTAGGAGGATTAGGTAATTTACTGAAAGTGAGGGTGGGGGAAGGGGAGTAAAAGGAATGAGAGGAGTGTTCCAGATTAGGGAAATAGGCAGACAGATGAAAGACAGACCCCTTCCCCAGATGAGAACACAGGAAAAGGTATGGGTTTGGAAAGAGGAATGATGATTTGGTTTTGAACATGTTGATAGGGGACACCCAAATAAGAGGTCTGTCAAATGGTTGGGTGTTTAAGAATTTGGAGCTTCAGAGGAAATGATCTAGGCTAAAGAAGATTTGGAGCAATCCGTATCTAAGCAGCAGACGAGCATGTGGGCAGCAGCAGGCAGGGTGGGGGTGGGATACTGAGATCCTCTAGAGAAGAAAATGAGCAGAGAAGACAACTAGGGATAGAATCTTAGGGATCTACAACAGTTAAGGGAGCAGTGAAAGAAGAGACCTTGAATGAGAGAAAGAAATAGTTTGAGTGATGGTAGGCGAGTGAGGAGAGAGTGGGTCACGGAAACCAACGGAGGACCAAGTGTGGTGAAGGGGAATGGTTGGGAGCAGTGCCAGCGCAACAGAGAAATCACGTAAGGTAAGAACTGCAAGGTACCATAGTATGTAGCGATTAGGTCAAGGTAAAACCAGCTGGTGGGAATGCAAAACATTACTGCCACTTTGGAAGACAACACAGGTTTCTCCCGCTCTCCAAAAGTAGAGAGCCTTCCTCTGAATCCTTTTGTAAGCTGAAATAGCGTAAAGCAGATATGCATTTACCTTAGGATACGTCTTACTAACGGAGATACAGCACAGATGCTCACAGACACAGTCCAAAGCTGAGTGCTTGGCGCTGAGATGCTGAGGTGGTTCTGGGGAGGAGCTCGGCGGGAGATTCTCGCTGCCGGGTGCCCGCCTGTGACGTCTGGCTGCAGGACAAACACTGAACACTATTCGCTTTTTGCCTTTTCTCGTGAAAGCAAAAATCTCCTTCGAATTTTTTTTTTAATTAGCGAAAACAGGTACGCTAGGTTATGTAGATTTTTTTTTTTGTTTTTGGTAAAAGCAAAGTGGGATAAAGTGAACTTTTGAAAAGTGGGGTGGGGTGGGTGGGAGGGGAAATACCTTTATAATAGTTTCTTACAAAGCTAAACCTTGTCCTACCATGTGATTCAGTAATCGCGTTCCTTGGGTATTTACCAAAATGATATGAAAACGTATGTCTACATAACAACCTGGACACAGATGTTTATAGCAGCTTTATTTATAATTGCCAAAACTTAAAAGCAACCAAGATGTCCTTCGACAGTGATAAAAAGAAATGAGCTATCAAACCTTGAAAAGACATGGAGGAACCTTAAATGCATATTATTACTAAGTGAGAGAAGCCAGCCTGGAAAGGTACTGTATGATTACATTCTGGAAAAGGCAAAACTATAAAAAGAGTAAAAAGGTCAGCGGTTGTTGGGTTGAGAGGGAGGAAGGGATGACTACGTGGAGCATTAGGCCAGGGAAACTGTTCTGTATGATACTGTAATAGTGGAGACATGTCATTATATACATTTCTGCAGACCTGTAGAACTGTACAACAGGAAGAGTGAACCCTAATGACTTTTGTTAATAGTAGTCTATCAGTATTGACTCATCAGTTGTAACAAATGTACCACACTAATCAAGATGTTAACAGGAGAAACTGTGGTAGATGGGAGTGGGTGGGAGGAGGAAGGGGTTATGGGTGAGGGGCTACATGGAAACTCCGTGCTTTCTGCTCAATATTTCTGTACACCTAAAACTACTCTAAAAAGTAAAGTCTATTAATTAGTAAAATAAAAAGAAAGAGGGAAGGAATAAAAGAAGAAATAGAGGAAGAGAAATAAAGCCATGTGGATACAATCTTGCAGGTGTATCATGAACCCATAATGATAATTAATCCAATGCTGTGTGCTTGAGTTCCAAGTAGAGAAAAAATCTGACTAGTCTCTCTTCTGCTTACTGATCTAGGGCTCCCCACCACAAATGCAAGATTCAGCCCAATGTCTTTAGCATAAAGTGAAAGTTTTTCCACATCTTGACCCTGCAAATTCATCTCTGGTCATTGCTCATGTATTATAAGCTGCAGCTGCGAAAGTCTTTTTGCTCCCTTTTCCTACTTGTGACACTCACTTTTAGACCATTCTGCTTTTTGCTCCTGCTGTTTCTTCTGCCTGTGTCCTCCTGCACTTTTCTATGTAATAAAATCTTACATATTCTCCAACACCCGGCTCAAATGTTACCTTCTCTGTGAGAACTTTGCTGATTCCTGTCACCCCAGCACACCAAGGAAGAAAGATCTCTCTGCCAATGTCTGTAGTTCTTTGCACCCTTCTCTTCAGTAAATGCTTAATACACCACAAATCAATACATCAACAACAGACAGCTTAGTAGGAAAATTGGGGACAGAAAGAAGCCGTATCGAAGCAGATTTAAGGAATGGGTAGGAGTTGAGATAGGGATACATGGAGGGTGTACTACTCTCTGTGGATTGGTTTTATTGTAATTTGATATTTTTTTAATTTGTTTTTAGCATTTGTGGTTCTACTCAACAGGGGTTGAGAGTTATACAAAGGAAATGTCCAGGATGGCTGTGGTGCTGTCCAGTGCTTGGGTGCTGACAGACCAGTGTCACTAGGTAGGGGCTGTTTCAAGATCAGTAATTCTTCTGGCCCCAGGAGCTGTCATCTTGTATTTTTGGGAGGAAGGAAGAGAGCATAATGACTATACCCCATGGTTGTTACCTCTTGGAGGTTCTGGAGCCACGGCCTGCATCACCTATGGGGAAAGGAAAAAGGGTAGCTGACTGAGTTGGCACCTTCTTTATTTCTTATAGGATCTACAGGCTTTTGAAGACCAAGTTAACAATTAGAAAAAGCTGTTGAGTATTAGTTTTACTATCATCCACTGAATGGACTTTAAAGGCCATGTTCCAGGAACCATGCCAGTTACTGGGGATATGAGATAACCAAAATGGGGTTTCTGCCTTCAAGGAGCTCAGTATAACCAGGAAGACCAACTTCGAGCCCATGCCAGCAATTATACTATGAAGGCAGCTGTCTTAGTCAGCTGCGGCTGCCATAACGCGATACTGTAGGCTGGGTGGCTTAAACGACAGGAATTTATTTTCTTACAGTTCTGGAGGCTGGATGTGCCATATCAGGGGTTAGCAGGGTTTGGTTTCGGGTTAGTACTCTCTTCCTAGCTTGCAGATGGCCACTTTCTTGCTATGTCCTCACATGGCCTTTTTTCCGAGCTGGTAGGGTGGGGGCTTGAAGAGAGAGAGAGGTGAGAGAAAGAGCATGTGGAGACTCTGATGCCTCTTTTTATAAGGACACTAATCCCGTCAGATCAGGGTCTCACTCTTATGACCTTGTTTTTCCTTAATTAGCTCATAAAAGCCCTACATATTTCCAGATACAGTCACACTGAGGGTTAGGGCTTCAATATATGGATGTGAGGGGTCAAAATTCACTTTATAGCAAGAATTTACAGAAAACTGTTGGAGCACAGATGAGGTTGTGATCATCTTGTCTAGCCAAGGGAAATATGGGGCAACAGAAAGTTCAACAGTGACTCTTGGTCTGGATTTTGAGTGTGTGGGTCATTTGCTTGTGGGATGCGAGTGCCCAGCCCCAACTTGGAGGCTCTGGTGAACTAGCAGTGCCAGGCAGCCAACAAGTAATTATTGTCCTGTATAAAAAGGGAGGTCTCCACATCACAAGCCTCCTGTCAGTCACATCTTTAGTCAATGATATGTCCTTATGCCCTCAATATTATTTTTACATTTGTTAGCAAGTTTTTCTTGATGGTAGGGTATGTCAAAGGTTTCCTGAGTAGTATCCAGATGTCACTCATCGTTCACTGCAACAGCTTCTATATGCCTCTTGCAAAGGTGATTATTTCAGATTCAGTAACTGTCAATTCAAAAGAGAATAGTTACCGTACTTGATATGGTTCAAGTAGTAAGCATAAGCATGTGTGACCCTTCGCAGTGGTGGGTGTGTAAAATGAGTCATGGGCTTGCTCAAGACGTGCATCTCTGCCCCTGTCATTCCTGTCTTTTGCACATAGCACTTGGGGACACCAGGCTCTGTGAGCAATCGGTGTTGTACTGTCCTCATTGATAATACTGTGTTGAGGGTCCTTACCTGTGGAATTCATATTCTCAGAAGATGGAAATATCTTGGAAGCTTTGAGAAAATTAGCCACTACTTGCTTTGTACTTCTGTCCATTGCAGTTTACATTTGTCTTTTGGCAGCTCGGGCCCTGATCGAGGCTTATCAGGGCCAGGTGATGAGTTTCTTCAAAGTAGAGAGTGAGTCACAGTCATCTCTGTTCTAACCCAACTTGTCCTCCGGCGCCGATCGCAGTATCCCAGAAGCAATCACTTTTGGATAAACTAGTACAAATGTTGTATACTGAAAATAAGCTCATCATCCTAATGACACTTTATCTCCCCAGTGGAATTTATTCTCTCTGCAGTGCACTGGACTGAGTCCCTGGCTGGTCTCCTGCCCTTTGTGTAAACCAAATAATGGCTACAGCACAATCCCAGCCCATCACCTACAGGAGCTACTACACTCGGTGAAACGGGGGCAAAGCTCTGGGCAGGGAGCCTGCTCAAAGGGTTTGTGTTGACAGAGTTATTTTCCATCTCCAGGACCAAAAATTCTGGCTTTAGAAACAAGGGCGAGGTGGTGATATTGGCTCAAGTGAAAATGAAAACCCTCTTCCTTTCTATGATTGCTCAGGTCGGGAAGTTGGTTTTCTGTTACTTCAACAAGTGGGCTGCAGGACAGACCTGTAATGTTTAGAGTCAGTGACTGCACTTGAAACAGCTATGTCCCTTTTTCCTCCCTTCACCTGTCTCTTCGGAGGAGGATTTGTAAGACAAGCTATGGGTTTACAAACGTTAGGACTAGCAGCCCAGTTGGCTTCTTATCTCCTATGCTGCTGCAGTCACTGTGCTAGAACTCTCTCCTCAAGCAGGTGAAGAAGTGTTTGGATCTCTGCTGTTCCCACAACGGGAGCATTTCCTTGTTATCCTAAAGGCAGCTCATTACAGAGTTTGACCCTTGCTGTCCTCTCCCTCCCTTAAAACTCTCACATTCGTCTCTTTTCCTTGTGTTACTGCCGAAAGAATGCTACTGTTGAAAGAATGCAAACTACAGTTTTTCTGTCTTGTGAGCATCATTCAAAAGCACTCCGCCCATCCGTGAATTATTCTCTGACTCTTCAATCAGGGCAGTGTTACAGGTCCTCTGCTGGCAGGAGGGAGCACTCCAACAATATCTGAAGACCCAAAATCTTTCAGAAGCTGTGACGAGCAGACTAGGAAGCCACAAAACATTGCGAACTGAATGGATGTCTTAATAAGCTTTTAGATGTGATTTGGCCAGTATTGGCAGAGGAAGCTCAAGGGAAAAAGGCAGCAAGCTTTGTAACGTAACGCTGCAGACCCACTGGGCGTGACAACCCTGGGAAGCTAATGATCTCTCCAGGAAAGAATTGACTGCAGTTATCCAGCAACAAAACACGATGTAGAACAGGGGGGCCAGACCCTCGGATGTGAGTACAATCTCTTTTCAATACAGGATTTGGAGCAGTAGGAGCAAAGTGAGTTACTGTAAGTGATGGCGCTCCCTAACCACCAGTGCCCGGGTGACTGGATCATCTCTGGGGGGTTGTGCATAATGCCTGGCTGGGACTTTTATTTGCGATTTCTTCTGTAATATTTTGCCTGAATGTAATGGCTTTGACATATTGTTGCCAGGAGACTTCGTTATAAATCTTCAAGAAAACAGCAACAGTAAATCTCATAGACCTTTTGCTATAAAAAGAAAACTGGTCACCTCAGAGACCAAGCAGCTGTGTGGCCCTCTGGCATTTGTGGTGGGAGACAAAAGCATCAGCAAATTGGAGAGCAATGAAAATGGGGGCAGTGGGCTGGCAGGAAGGAGGGAAATCTGTCTTGGAAGCTAAATCTCTTTCTGGATTTAAGAGGCTGCATATTTATGATCATGCATTTATTATATTTCTGCTTTAAAAAACTGGCAGTATGTTTGCATATAAGGTTTTTCTCCAGAACACTGAAAGTGAGCATTGTGACAAAGAGGGATGTGATTGATAGACTTGGGGCAGAAGAAGTTCCTCACTGCCAGCTAAGGGAAGAATCTTGAATGATAGCTGAATTCCTTGGAAGAGGAGGCTCAGATTTAATGAGGGAATGGGGCTGTTACAGCCTGGGCACCCAACAGGTTGCAGTGAAGTTTAATTTGTTGATTGCAGACTAGTTACCACCCCTCTATTCCTCTCCTCTTCCCACTGATTGTTGGGGGTCCTCCATCCCCCCTTATCCTTTCCCTGCACACTGCCTCCACCTGATTTGTCAGTTCAGAGGTATCAGATGAGAAACTGAGTTGCCTGTCACTCTGAAAGGATGGGGATCATTGTTCTGGATGGGAGGTAAAGATACCACAACTTAAGGCGGTGATCATGAAAGAGGTGGGGAAGAAGCTGAGTTGGGCCTGCACCCCAACCCAAAGCTGGAGATGTAGGAGGAAACAGAAAGGAAGCAGAAAAGAAGACTCAGCTACTTCCATCCCCTCCCGTCTACCCTGTGTGTAAATGCAAGTGCAAATGAATACTGGAGGCCCTAGCTATGAGACGGTTATGAGATTTAAATTGAGAATGAACTTGAGATACCCAAGTATACAGGGATGGTGCTAACAGCAGACTAGGAACTATGAACCTGGAATTTTGTTCCAGATTTTACGGACGGTTTTCTGTGCAGTGGGGTGAGGGTGGGGGTGGAGGAGATGGCTGGGGGTGGTATCCAAAATTCTGTGAGTGACCATCCTGGAGGCTGCCCTGTGCCTCCGGTGGGGCCCAGCTGGTAGAGGGGGTGGCGTAGGGTAGGGAGGGGGGGACATTTCATTCTTAAGTAGCTGTCACCGAAAAGCACACACACACAAAAAGACATTTCTGCTTGACCAGTATTTTCTCAAACTGTAGTGTTTCTCTATCTTAAAAAGAAGGGAGGGAGGGAGGAAGGAGGGGAGGGAGGGAGAGAGGAAGGAAGGAGGGAAGGAAAGAAGGAAGGAAGGAAGGAAGGACGGAAGGAAGGGAGGGAGGGAGGGAGAGAAAACTCATATTTATGGAGCACCTACAGTATTCCAGATTAAACATCTGTAAGATAAAGAGAATTTGAGAAATGTAAGGCCTCGGCTGACATATTTTACTAGCAAGAGGATG